TGTGAAATTCGTTAATCGTTCTTCGAATTACACACTTGTCAAAATCATCTACATCAGTTTCAATTTTCCTTCTTGGTCGTTTCTTGTGAGGTGTGCCGAATTCTTTTCCCACTCGTTTATTATGTTCGTACTCTTTTAAAATGCGTTTCAGAGTACTTATGGACACACCAGTAGCTTCAGAAGCACGATTTTAAGTTTGATTAACGTTAATCACTTTGCCGCTGTCAGCTTCTTTCTTCATAAAACTGTAAACACTTATCACCATTTTTCTTCTTTAGCTGTGTATTGCTTTACGTCCCCTATTTTCTTTACACCTCTGTCCACGCTTTGCATTCTGTTCGTGCTGAGTAGAAACAACAACGGTGAATATAACAGGCCTAATTATAAATGGGTCAATGTTATTGAAATGGAATTTACCACACGAAGTGATCTCGGTCGGGGCTGGCTTGTAACTGAGCTCCGACTTCACCCAACCCATTGTTCGAGCTGCAAATACACTGCACATCTGAAGGCCATAGCTCTTGTCCCACCGAACGGCCTATACTGTACCATATGATATTGTGATGAAGGCAACCAACCACTGATGTGTTGTATGGCTATGTGTCTGTCACAGTGGCAGTGCTAAACTCTCAGATACCAACATACTCCCTGGACATGTGTCTGTGTGACTCTGATCTTTTACTGAAAATGAAGGAATCTTTCTGAGCAAAGCAATTTCATCAGACAAAAACTTGCAGAAACTACAGTAAAAATCCAATGCAACACATATAGCCTTTTATGGCAAGCCTCTTTTTATGAGAGTCTTTTATACATGATCATTGTAACAATATTAAATATAGAAGTATATTTTTAGTTATAAAGAGAGTACTTTTTCATAATTTTCAGTATAATGTTTGCTTTTGATCACTTTCTGCAAATGCAACTGTGGCATAGTTGTAATTTAATTATGTATGCGAAACGAGTCTGACCATTTTCTGTAACATTATAAAATTACATCTGGCAGTGTTGCTTAGTTGCTGCTGCTTTTCTGAGTTAACCACATCTTACTGACAAGTGACATCATATTATCATCACTGGTAATCACTATCAAACAGAAAGTATCTAACTATTCAATACTTGCCAACTGCCATTTCATTTGATTTATGAAGAGTATATTCCATTCTGTTTCTGATATGACAGCAGTGCAAAGAAAAAGTGAACCCAAATATTTACCCACTTGTGTGGTGACCACATTTATAGAAGTGAAGGTGATAATGTAGCAGTTTTATCTGCAAGGGTTTACCAGTTGAGTAATTTCATGTGAACTACAACGTTGTTGGACTGTTATTTAGTAATTGCTCAATAATGTTTTATTACCTTCCTAAAAATAGGTCACATTCCAGTTCTGTTGCCAGTATTTTGTTTCCATCTCTTTTAAATATAAAATAAAATATTTTCTCAATGATTCCAGTCAGCTCACATGAATGCCGATAAATTTTGTACTTCCAAGGCTTTAGAATGGGGATAAAGTTGATTTATAAATCAGTTAACTCTATATATATGAGCCGCATAGCTCAGTCAAAGTAGTGACTGGCTACAGACTGGACAATTGGGGTTCAATCCCTGACAAGGGCAGAGGATTCTTCCTCCAGCCTCTGTGTCCAGACCTGCTCTGGGGCCCACTCAGCCTCCTATCCAATGGGTACCGGGATACTTCCCTGGGGATAAAACATGCCTAACGCGTGGTGCTGACCACTCACCCCTATCTAGTCCTGAGGTCAAGAATGAGTATGA